CTTCCCAACCCAGGGATCGAACCCATGGCTCTTACATCTCCTGCATTGCAGATGGATTCTTTAGCACTGAGCCACCAGAATGATTGAAACCAACTAAATAAACAACAGTATCTAAGAAGCCCACATCAGTTTTTCCCTGCACTTTGCATGCTTTTCCATGTCCTCCTCATCTTAAGAATCTGATCCCCATGTAGAAACATAGCCTCTATTGTTGAAAGGTTGTTCCACTTGAGATGTAGTTTCCAGTTACAGGCAGAAATCCATGGGCAGCCTCTGCCTAGGAGAAATATTCTTGTCACATAAGAATCCCTCTATTAATCAAAAATCATATTATGGCTTCGAGAATGAAGTTTCCTTTACTACTCTTTAATAATAAGCCCGAGATAAGATAAAATTGGTAATTGCACGTTCTCTTCTGATGGGAGATAATACAAAAGTGGTATAGAAATTTGACTTAAAAGAGTATATTCACTAGGCTAATAGGCTTCCATTATGTGTTCTTTACTCATTCATTCATTACGATTTTGCCATGTATGGAAAACTTTAATTGGAAGTTACTTATTACATTGTTCCTAAATGTTAGCAGCAGAGGAAAGTTTTCGATAATCAAAGAAGGTTGAATGCAATAGAAGCCCAGGATTTTCTAGACAGTGAATCCAGTAAAAGTAGATCGCCTGTACCAAGCATGGGTGAGGGCTTTCTCCTCAACAGATGACCTTCAAATCAGAGATTAAGGACCAACTTCATGTCGACAAGCTCAGATTTTTTCAGTGAAAGTACAACAAATGAATTCTAAATCATATATTGACATGTGCATTTTATTTCATGTATGACCCATATTTCAGAAGGCAGCTGTCCCTCAGCTACAGTCCACAGTCAAGGGAGAACAATCAGATGCAAGGAAATCCTATAGGTTTTTTTTGTGTGCGATTTTTTCGAGCCTACAGGTTATGCCTTAATACCTATGAATCAATTAAATCATATTTACATTTCTGACACCAGCATGATGAGCTCAAGGAGCACTATCACAAGGGGATATTCCTGATCGAGAGGCAAAGCCCTACAAACACCTAGCATAACTGGTGTAACCGAAGTAGGAAGTGTGGTTCACCAGGCATTCTGTTGTTCCCATCAGTCCAGCTGGGGTTTGGTCCTTCCCTGGATCATATCTCACTGGTATGGACTCAGCACCAGGGGGTGTCCGTATCCAGAGAGCTTTGTGAATGGTGTTTCCCTGGGCCTCACTTACATCACAAAACAGAAGAGTTGAAGCAGATTTGTTTGTCCAAATCGTTCTTTAGCTTTGATTTCTAACCATAAAATAAGGATGTGTTCATTTGCATTTGGAAGTATCTATGAGCCATACTCAATCCAGGTCTACAAGGAAGGCTGGCAGAGGTTTACCATCATCATCGTGATCACCATCACCATCTTAGAGATGCCAGAGCCAGAGGATTCTGCTCGCACCCAGCACCACCCAGCTGGTAAGTGCTAAATTTTGTCAGGAGCCCAATCTTCTGACCCCTCCTCCCTCACCCCAGGGCTGACAACCGCTTCAGAGGGACCCAGGTGGAAAGCCCTCACTAAATGAGCAGATAATCCACTTAGGGCTAAACGGAAATTTGTAAATCAACTCCTCCCTTCAGATCTGGCATGTAACATTTATAGAGCTTGGATCCTTCCTCAGAGAAGAGTCTCGTGAAAAATACTTTCTGTAGTTAAGCTTGTGTCTAAGCTCTCCCTTTCCTTAGAGGGCTCTTTAATGAAACGTCAGGAGATTGATAAAACGAGGTGGCAGCCACCCCAGGACACATTTTTATGGAGGCTCCTCCATCTCTCTTCCCCAAATCATCACCCTTAACTAGGAACACATGAGGACAGCACCCAGCCTTAGCACTGACAGGTGAAAACCCAGACCAATTTAGAAAAAGCATCCCAGCGCAGGTCAGCAGAGCATGATTCCTGGGAGCTTCTGGGGGGGAATCTCACCTAAAGCAAACTTAAGGGACTTCTCTGGTGGTGCAGAGGTCGGGAATTCTCCTGCCAATGCAGGGGATATGGGTTTGATCCCTGTCCTGGGAAGAACCACATGCCACAGAGCAACTAAGCCCATGCACCACAGTGAAGACTCAGTGCAGTCAAAAATAAAATAATTTTTTTTTAAAGGCAAACTTAAGGTGCTGTGGAGGTTCTTCCAGCTGCTAGCAGAGGCAGTGGAAATCAACAAGCTTTAGCCAGAGCTCCTGGGATATTGTGGCTTCTGTCACTTATTGACTCAATGAAGTTGAGTATGCTCCTTGCGTCAATCAAAGAAACCGGCACATACATAAAGGAGCTCACAGTCTGGGGTTGAAAGGGGCAAGGGGATGGCAGAAAAGTCACTAGAAGATTATAGAATAATCAGTGTGGGGAGTCACACTCCAAATGGGATAGGAAGAGACGCCAGAAGGGCAGCCCTCATCCAGACTGTAGGGTAGGGAGGTAGGAGAGCCTTATCCATGGGGTAGTGCTTGAGCTGAATTCTGAATGACGGGTAGGGGCTATCCAGATGGTCAAATGAAGAAAGGGTGTTCTAGCAGGGGTGCAACACAGAAGCTAGAAGAACATGAGGCAGATATCATGGGAATGGGAAGGAACTGAAAAACTCGCCCGAGATCTTCAGCAACTCCAGAAGCCCATCCTCCCACTGGCAGTGTACTCCAGAATCTCATGTATGTTCACTGAACATGACCAGATATCACCAGAGCCCCAGGCACTCAGACACTGGGAAGCCAGAGCCTGGTTCAGGATTTCACGCCAGAGAAAGGTCCGTGTGGAGCCCAGACTTGCCTGGGTCATGCCAGAGGTCCCCAGAGAACTTGCTGAAGTTCTCTTTTCCTCAGTTTCCTCATCTTGCAAATTTGATTAATAATACCTTCTCTGAAAAGTTTTCCTGAACATTTAAAATAATGCCTACGGCAATACCTAGAAGAAAGGTGACAACCCCATGCACAGTCATTTCATTTCTGTTGCTGTTATGGGGCATGTTGACTGGACTCGGGACGATCCTGGAGCCACAGACAACACCATCCATTCCACACTCGCCTGCTGAGTCTGAGTTAATGGCAGGTCTATGGGCTGACAGTCTTCATACCTCCAGAGACCCACAGGTTACACTCTGCCAATAACAGGGCTTAGCTCTGCTTCAAAGCCCACAGAATCCAGTTACCACCATTTTTCTCTCCTTGTGCTTTTAAAGAACACACCCTCCATTATTAGTTGAAGTCAAAAGAGAATTGCAAAGGTAAGCCTGTTGGAGGGAAGAACAATGTCACATTCTCAAGACAAACAGAAATGTCGTTGGAGTGTCTACCATTTGGATTGGCAGCACCACCTCCCTGCTGCCCGAAGATCTGAATTGGTAGTTTTCTTTCTCCATCTTTTCTCCTCCTCATGTGATTCCACTCTTACCAATCAATTTTGGTGACTCTTTTGAGGTAAGAAAATTAACTTTATTACAGGGATGATTGATCATGCCCAGTTTCACTGACTCTCCACCGCTATCCAATAGATTCTGGCATTAACTCAAAATGAGCCCGGAGGGCCCCATATCCTAGGAAAGCCCTCAGCTCCAGGCAACCCAGGACCATTGGGCAGCCTTGCCTGGGTACCAAGCAGTCCTTATGAATCCCAACTCCACCATGAAATGTGACCTTGGGCAAATTACGGACCCTCTCTCAGCGTTCATTCCTCATCTGTAAAACAGCGATACTATACCTGTTACACAGTTGTGTGTGCCCGTCATACAGTGGACAATAAGTGAAGGACAGCTATTTTCTATTTTTAATATCATTATTCTTTCTCTTCTTGACTCTGAAGGGATGTCCTGTTGCTGAGTACCTTTGCCATCCCCATGAAGAGGCCATGCAGAGTCTAAGTCCTAAGCATGTGTTGGCTCCAGTCTCCCTTACCGGAACAGCAGCCTTCTATTCCATGTCGCTGTGAAACTATTGTGCCTCTCCTGCCAAAGCCTGCAGAAGAAACACCCTCCTCTAGGAAGTCTTCCGAGGCGGACTCTGTGTCCAATCTCATTCTTTTTCGGTCTCCCAGCAGGAAAAAGAAAACACACTCAGATGAGATACCAAGGAGGATTTTTATAGAGGGACCATTTTTAGGAATATGAATAGGACTTAAAGAACCACCACTGGAAATCAAAGTCCCAGAGAGCAGCGGCAGCAGGAAGTTGTATCCACCCCTTGGCCTGAAGGGAATGGTGTTCTTGGAGCACTGTGAGAGCTCAGGCCAGGCTCTGCCCAGAAGCCAGAGGGCAAGGGGGCCTGGGAGATGCAGTACGTGCATGTCGGCTGTGGCCACAGAGAGCAGGACAGGGAAGCAAAGGGAAGGGGCAGAAATGAAGACTGAAGCATACCCCTGTTTGTCCAGCTCCTCCGCTGGCTCTCCAGACAGGGTAACTGGGGAGCAATCTGCTATTTGAGAGACATACGTTTTCCATTTGAGGATCTGTGGTGAAGGCTATGGTGTCACACCCCACGATGTTTCCACAAACATTCAGCTGCATCTTCTCCCTCTGGATTTCCCTCTGGGGCAGAGAGCTTGTCACGTATTGAGCACCTACCATCAGGCAGTTGGCCCCGTTTGACCTGCACAACAATCCTGAAAGGGCTCCTGGTTTGCAGGTGAGGAAACTGAGGCTCGTTGAAGCTGAGCCTCGTCCAGGGTCACTCAGCTAGAACTGTATCCAGCTCTGGCTGTGAAACCATCAAAACCAGACTCCATGGTTTTCATGAAAGATTGCCCAGCCTGCCTCCCTCTACCCTGGCCAGCTGCCCACAGGCCTTATTCAGGCTTTTATCTATCTACTACAGGGTTGTTTGATGGGAGCCACTCAACCCTCACATCTGAACCCAATGTTAGATGCACCCAAACTGACAAGCACTCGGTGTGGCTGTTTGTTCTATTATCACCTCCCCGAAGAGTACGGAAATCAACCCAACGGCACAATGCATGTCCTTTACCTGAAACTTACCTTCCATAGGTGAGATGCCAGAATGAAGCCAAGATAAGCTCCGTCCTGGCCTGCAGAGGGAGAGAGGGGACTTCTGCCACCCACTGCGATCCACAACATGCGGAACTCCTACATGGGAAAGGGCATTAAGAGTCGGCGGATCGAAAGTCATGGACAAACGTCCACTACTGGGTAATTTAAAGTCTTTTAAAAATAAGCAAGTTTCTCATCTCCATAGAAGCTTTTGGACGTAATTCTGCCTGAACTGGGGAGAGGAGAGAAGATGGGCCAGAGTCCCTCCAGCTTTCATTCTGAGTTCTGTAGTGAGCGAGCTCAGTGTTGGTATGAAGAGGCAATGGCTTTCTGTTTTCAAGAGGAACACTGGACAACCTTGAAAAGCTGTGCCCTCCATCCCCCTGCCGGGAAACACAGGCACTGGGGCTTCCTGGTCCCCGTTCCAAGACCCTTGCCTGTCTCCTTCTATCTAGCCTCCATCTCTCCTGCTGCAGGACCGGCAGCCCATTTCCTCTATTCCCAACCTCGTGGAGATGGAGAACAGCTGGGCCTTGATCCTCCGGAGAATAACTTTTCAGAGATTTGTTTGAGTGGAAACACCAGGGTCCTGAGGAATTTTCCCCTTTGTTTGAAAACGAATGACTTCCTCCTCCTGCTCTGAGGGGCTTCCACCTGAGTTGTGGTAACTTCAAAGGCTCCCCGCGTTCCTGCCGAAGAGGCCAGAGGCTCTCTGGGGCCTCCTCCCGCTGCTTCTGCCTGAGGTCCTGCAGCCTCTGCCTCGAGCCCACCCCTCAGCAGCCTGAATCAGGGCCCCGTGCACGCTTGTGATGGGCTAGATGTCTGCATCTGCACAGATGTGTACCGAGGCTTGTGTTTGGGAGCGCGTGTGTGAATCCAAGATGCATTGTTCTCTTTGCCCGTTAAGAACCAACCTCAGAGAGCAGCGAGACAGGAGGGGAGACAGCTTTCAGCAGAGATTGCTGAGTTTCAGTTTGTAATAAGTATTTATGACCAAGTTACAACAAGCCCTGAAAAAGAAGCTTTTCATGGAAGGGCAGATACTTACTGCTGTGTTAATTACAAGCCTCTACTGGTCCTTCCAATATATGCTTTATGTTCTTTTTTAACACTTTCCAGTGATTCTTTTCTTCCTTTTTTGAAAACCATGCCCAAGGAACAGCTGTTTTCTATATGTAGCTGGGCCCTGCAACAGACAACTGTTTCTCTTTTAGCAACTTTGTCAAGCTTATTGTGAGATTAATCTGACTGCAGGTGTCAGGTAAAAGCAGAACTCTGTTTGCAAAGACCAAGAACCCTGTGGAGTGTGAGGAGGGAGGCCCAGGAGCCAGAAGACACATTGGTCAGAACTCAGGAAGCCCAAGAACCTGCAAGCCAGGCCTGGGATGGCCACATCCACCTTTGCCTGGCTGCAGGGCGACACCACACTTCATCAGGGACGCCTGGGTCCTGGAGAAAGATTCTTTGCAAGCTGAAGAGCAGATTGAAGAGCAGAGCCTTTTAACTGCCATGTCCCCAGTGACATAAAATCTCACAAACAACCTCCATAAATCACACCCTGACAGCTACCGGGCTTGTCCAACGCTAAACACAAGTGGACTCTTCTTTTAAGTAGAGTCTTAAGTTGTAGGCAGCACCATCACCCTTCAGCAAACATCTGTAGTTCATCTTATCGTTTGAAGAAATATATGAGTTTCACTATCTTTTTTTTTTCTTTAAGCCTTTTGCAGCTTCTGCTCCTTGATTTCTTTGAAGACCATCTGCTCCATATAAAACTGGGGGTGGGGGGCATGCCGTGCAAAGGGAACATTTGGGAGCTATACAGGCTGTGAGAAAATGCAAACACTGCAAGAACTGTGTCGGCATCACTGGACAGAACACTTGTCCTCCTGAAACCCCAGACCCTCAGTGAGTGCTGGACTTGGGGCCTCGCTGCTGGCTCTGGCTGACGTGTGTTCTGGTTCTGCTTCGTGGCCAAAATTAAAAGCCCAGGGCTGGTGATTTTGAGAAACCTCAAACCTGTAAAATACATGCTGGGGTTGACCTCCCACACTCCCCTAAAAATAGCCTGTGAACAGCAGGATGCAAAGGGGGACCCGGGTGCCTTGGGTGATGTTTCTCGCAAGCGTAGCAACAAAGGCCCGGCTTGGGAGTGTATGTCATGGCATGATGTTACCACAGGGGGGTAGAAGTCACGCACTTGGCCATCCTCTCGGAAAAGCAGAGGGGAAGAGAAACCAAGCTCTCCAAAGAATGGCAGCAATTCTTCCTGTCCTGCTGCCCGTCCCTCCCCCCAGCCTCTGCCCCAACAGAGGTGTCGGAACTGAAGCTGGCCTCTCGGAGGCACCAGATGTTGAAACATTTGACCCCTGAAACCATCGCCACCCCCAGCCAAGCCTGGCTGGGCTTCCTCGGCCCTAACGTGGCCCAGGCAGCCTGCATTCTCAAGTTCCAGGAGTACCGCTCCACTTGCCAGGAAATGAATTTAAAGGATGCTTTAGAAAACCAGAGCAGTGCCTGTTTTGCCATGGAAGCAAAGCTAAAACAGTGATGATGACGGAGATTATAACACTAGCTCTTCCTTCACCCACACAAGTTTCTTTTCTTTTTATGTGTTGACCAGAGAGGTCCTTATAAATTCCAAAGCTTCCAACAGCCAGTTTCACTTTCCCATCTGCCCCACAAGCTCCAAAATGCTTTAGTTAAACTGATTAAAGCATTTACAGTTAGCATCCTTGGTATTAGCAGTATTAGTTTTATCACTAGAATTTACAGAAAAGTTTTGTGAAGTTCAAACTCAGTCGTTTGTAAAAACAGGGGTCCTCCTGTTTTTACTTCTCGCTGGAAACACAACCACACACACACACACAAAAAAAAGATTTTAGGTAATGAAACAAGCCACAGGTTTTTAAGGTTCATTTGAGCCTTTGCCCCTGAAAAGATCGACTCAAGCATCATTGGTAATTTTGTGGGTTGTCATGGAAGGCCCTTCACTGGCTAAGCGTTCAGCGTCCAGCGGGATACCCTGGCCAGGTCTGACTTTGCCCACGCTTAGAAGGCAGTGGAGGGCCACCATCATGTAGCACGGGGCTCTCACTGTTCCCGTCCCTCCTCCCAACAAGTCCAGTGGAAAGCCCGAAGCCAGTAAGCATGAAGACGCCTTTAAACAACAGCACGGATTTACCCAACTCTGTCAAGCCTGCAGATTTACGGGACAGAGGAAATTTTACCCGAAGCGGGGGAAAAAAAAACTTTTTGGGTCAATCACCTCCTACAAACTCAGAAAATAAACTTGCTTGCAGTTGTTAGCCACTTGGTGGAGATGGCAGAGAAGCCGCTTTAAACGGTTGATTCAGCATTACAAGTGGAGGGCGCAGGAGCTGCGGTAAGCCTCGCTCCCCCGCCCCGGGTCAGCGCCGCTCTTCTCTCTGAAGGCTGCCTCCGAAACGCTCAAGGTGCGCGGTGCGCGCGGAGCACTTTTAAGTAGAAGCGCCTGCATCCGAGGTCTGTAGCGCTACCTCTTTGACAGTTCCAGATGTTGTGAAGATGAAATACCTCCTGCTTGAGGAACTATGCAACTAGGAGCCCCGAAAGGTGTTCTGAATGCAGTTTAAAAAGGCATCCATCTTAAAATAATTTCAGCATCTCACTCGTCTATTTATAAGCACTGTAGGTGGCTTGGTTTTTTGTTTGTTTGTTTTTACCCTCTCAGAGTATTTTAAGAGACTTGCTTTTACATCAGGATATTTTAACCAATGACACTTCAAACTTTTGTCCTGCTTCTTTCTCCACCTGGGACCACCCGTTCAATCTGCCTTCCAACACTGTGGATATCTCTCTACATCAAGCTTGAGGCAGAAGGGCCTTCTTGTCTTTCCATTGGGTCCATCACTATCAACAGGGCCTGACAGTGGGAGGGAGGTGGCGCCGTCCAGGCCTGGATCAAGAAAGATTCATTGGAGAGAAGGCCAGAAAAAGCCCCACTTACCCCTCCAACCTCATAACTCACCACACTGTCAACCTCTGCAAATAGGAAGGAGGCCTCACCTTTATCAGGACTTTGGAGTGGTCTCTGAGCTTAAGTTTCCCTGGGTAAAAACCTGCTCTGGAGACCACCCTTTAGAAGACCTATCTCACTAGTCCCGGTGCATAGTAATGTTATTCTTGGGTCACTTAACTTCACTCTCAGGAAGAGTCAGGAACAGAGCTAAGTTGTAAATCACAGCCCTCTGGAATGGATTTGTGCAGAATGGACCGACCAGAGCATTCCTGCCTTGCTGGATCATGCATGGTAAAGAGATTATGGAAGGTAAAATTCAGCTAAACATGGGTTACTTTGACTTCCTACATTCTTGGTTGCCTGTCTCTCTATGAAAGGTTAAGACCTAGGAGGGAAATAGCATCCATGCTGTGGAATCGCTCTCACTCCAGGCAACATTTCCTACTCAAATGGTCCATAGGTATGACTGTGCAAGCTCACGCAGAGGAATTTGATCCCATCAGATTGATATTCTTCATCTTGTGGTTTTACTTGGTCCCTCTCACAAAGCCACCAAAACAGAAGGCAGCAAACCCCGAAGCTGAACTTGTAAATCACTGTTCACATGTTTGCCACTTCATGTGGTTGAAATTAGCCTTTTCTTCTCCCTGATGTCATTAGATGAGTCCTAAAACGGCAGTGACATCATCTCAGCTGATCTTCTTGCCTCTTCCCAAAATCCTTCAACCTATTTGGATAATGGTTTCTCAAGCTACAGTCTCTTGACACATTTCATCTTGTGGTCCCAATATCCAATTAAAAAAAAAAAAGATTTTCTCACCCGGTCCCAATATCCAATTAAAAAAAAAAAAGATTTTCTCACCCCTTCCTGCTCATTTGACCACATATGTCCTCCAGCCTACTGGAAGAGGGGAATTCTAGAAATGAGAATGATATACACTGTCAGCATCACTGTCCTCTAACCACTGGAAGCCCTCTTGCTTTCTGGAATGTAGGTTTTTCAGAGCTGCTTCCCTGAAAGAACATGGTGGCTGGTATCCGGGTTGTAGAAGCGGGTCAGCCTGTGAGAAGCCCAGGATGCCGTGACAGAGGGGCCGGCACCCCACTCCCGTGTGCACAGAGAGGAGGGGTCTGCCAGCATGGTCAGACACATGTGAGCAAAGACATCTGTAAATGAACAAATCCCAGCTTCTGGGGCCATGTCATGCATTTGTCTTGCTGAATAAGGTAGAACCAGAAAGTAATTTTGATTAGCAGTTGTCCAAGCTATTTATCATAGGAAATTACACAACTGCACTGGAGCTGGGGATTCGCACCCAGCTATTCCTGCCTGCATTGTTGTGATTTCACAGCCGGAGGCAGACATGGCAGGCAGAAAGGTCCCCTTTGCCTAAGTTCTGCTCTGTGAGAGTCAATGGATAAAGGACCCTGGAAGAACATAGTTTTTAAATTATAAGCTCAAGGAAACAACCAGAGGAAAAAGACTCCCTCTTTCATTTTTTCATCCATATTAAACAAGCAAGCAGTAAATGTGTCTCCTCTTGTTGGGAAACTAATCCACCAATAGTCCTAACAGAGAGAAATTTCTTCCAAGACGTGAAAGAAAACTTGAGTTGAAAGGTTTACTAAGGGTGATGGGATCTTTATTAAGAATGATTTTTCCATAAAAGGAAATAGCTCTGGATAAGAAGAGCATTCTAGAAGTGGCATTTGTAAGAATTTGTAAATCTGAACCTAAATATCTTCTTACTCATCCATGCATTTTTTTTTTTTTGCAAACAAATTGTTTTCTTTCTCTATTTGTTCTGTCACAGATACAGCCCTTCCCTAGTGATCTGGAGCAATAATATTTGCAGCCTGGTGAATTTTCTGGAACCTGTAGAAGGGAGAGGAAATGCTCAAGAGTGCCATTTAAAGCATAAAATGCACTTCTCAAGTCAGTAAAGTCAGACCAACAAATCCGCAGCAGCTTCACTTCTTATCCACCAGCCTTTGTTAGAAATAGAGTGCCCACGGGGTCTAGCACTGGAAACACTTGGAGAGATTGTGTTTTTTCTCTCTGAGAGACTTTTCTTCACCTCCTTGCCACCGTCCAGTTGATGAGTCTGCAGCAGGAGGGAGATAGATGGGCAGGGCTCAGTCCAGAACTGGAAGAAGGGCCCAGTCCGAGGTCCTCCAGAAGGCTGGGCTCCCAGGAACCGCGAGGACAGACAGCTGGATGCAGCTAATGAAGGGCAAAGGTGGCACAGTTGGTAAAGAACCCACCTGCCAATGCAGGGGATACAAGAGACGCAGGTTTGATCCCTGGGTTGGGAAGATCCCCTGGAGAAGCAAATGGCAACCCACACCTGTATTCTTTTTTTTTTTTTTTTTTTTTAGTAAATCATACATTTTATTTATTTTTTTTTTTCACAACCATAGTGTATCTTTTTTTTTTTTTTTTACATGTATTCTTGCCTGGAAAATTCCATGGACATCGGAGCCTGGCAGGTCGCAAAGAGTCGGACACCGAGTGACTGAGCATGCACACAATAGGAAAAACTCATTTCTTATCATTTCAGCCATCGCCATTGGCTGCCAATAGAGAAGCTGTCCTTTCGGTTTTCCGGAATGGCTGTGCAGACAGTGCTAAAGCAGAGCTCTCCAAACCCTGCCATCTTGCTAAAACCTAAAAAATTCAGCCTGTGAAGTGCCTGATTTCCTAGTACTTCCAAGTCATTCTTCTACTATTCAAAAATATCCGAATTTCTCACCACTTGCACATAGGTGTTTGATATCATTCTGAAGAAAGCCTAGATGGATATTTATTGGACATGATACAAAGATTCCTTTATCCACCAGAAATCTAAATATCTTTCTGGCTACAGCAACCTGGGGATCTTTGGAAACATCTAGAAGAATACAGTCAAATCTCCTTCTCCCCCAGATATTTTGTGTAGTAGATGCCATGACCGGCTGTGCACGCAGCCTTCGGTCTCATCCCGTACCCCGTCAGTTTGAGGAGGGCAGAGGGCCGTGGTGCCTAGCCCAGTGCTGGGCCATGGTGCGCTCTTAATAAATCCTCAGTGATGCGACGCTGGTGGAAAATCGGTGTTAGCACAGACAGCAGCTTCCCAGGGCCCGTGCTTGGGGCTTGATGTGCTCTGTTTGGGGGGAGCAGAGCAGCTGCCTCCCTGAGCCCAGGGATTTCTCACTCTGTGGAGGAAATCCTTTAAGTATTTACAACCATTTAACAACTGCCTATATCCTGACAGTTTTACCTCCCAAATTTCTCTTGATGCACGCTTCTCAGCCTCCACACCGCCTGCACCTCTGACCTCTGCCTGAGCTGATCTCCCTCCTTCCACCCCCAGCCCCATGGAGGTCCGCCTCCATACAGCGGCCAGAAGGATCTCTTTACAATGCAGATCTGCTAAAAAACAAACAACTTCAGTGGCTTCCCACAGCATTTAGGATCAAGATCTAAATCTTACCTTTATCATATGTAAAATAGAGTTTGGTGGTTGACGCAGGGCACCCAAAGCTTCTCTGTGACAACTTGGAGGGATGGG